AATGAACAGTGATTGCAAAAAACCTCAACAAAATAATGCAAACCGAATTCAACAACAACATCATAAAGATCCTTCAACCACGACCAAGTAGGCTTTCATTCCAGGGAGTGGCAGGCGGTGGTTCAACATACTTAAAAATCAATAAACATAATAACCACATTAACAGAAGCAAAGACAAAAACCACTTGATCATCTCAATAGATGCAGAAAAAGCCTTTGATAAGATCATCCATTTCATGATAAAAGCGTCTAAGAAAACTAGGAATAGAAGGAAAGTACCTCAACATTAATAAAAGGCTATATAGAACAAAACCTACAGCCAGCATTATACTTAACGGAGAAAAAACTGAAACCATTCCCTCTAAAATCAGGAACTAGACAAGGATGCCCACTATCCCACTCCTATTCAAACATAGTACTGAATTCCTAGCCAGAGCATTAAGGCAAGAAGAAGGAATAAAAGGAATACAAATAGGTAAGAAACTGTCAAAATTCCCTATTTGCAGATGACATATGATCCTATACTTAAAAGGACCCAAAAAACTCTACTCAGAAACTCTAGACATCATCAATAGCTACAAGCAAGGTAGCAGGATATTAAAATCAACATTACAAAAATCATTAGCATTTCTATACACTAAAATGAGCAAACTGAAAAGAATATATGAAAACAATTCCATTTACAATAGCCTCAAAAAAAAATCAAATACCTAGGTGTAAACCTAACAAAAGATGTAAAGACCTCTACAAGGAAAACTATAAATTTCTGAAGAAAGAGATTGAGGAAGACTATAGAAAGTGGAAGAATCTCCCATGCTCATGGATTGGTAGAATCAACATAGTAAAAATGTCGATACTCCCAAAAGTAATCTACATGTTTAATGCAATTCCCATCAAAATTCAATGACATTCATTAAAGAGATTGAAAAATCTACTGAAATTTATATGGAAACACAAGAGGCCACGAATAGCCAAGGCAATATACTCAGTCAAAAAGAACAATGCAGGAGGTATCACAATACCTGAACTTCAAACTATATTACAAAGCAATAACAATAAAACAGCATGGTACTGGCACAAAAACAGACATGAAGACCAGTGGAACAGAATAGAGGACCCAGATATGAAGCCACAACAACTATAACCAACTTGTCTTTGACAAAGGAGCTAAAAATATACGATGGAGAAATAGCAGCCTCTTCAACAAAAACTGCTGGGAAAACTGGTTAGCAGTCTGCAAAAAACTGAAACTAGATCCATGTATATCACCTATACCAATATTAACTCAAAATGGATCAAGGATCTTAATATCAGACCAAAACTCTAAAGTTGATACAGGAAAGAGTAGGAAATACTCTGGAAGTTAGTAGGTATAGGTAAGAACTTTCTCAACGAAACCCCAGCAGCACAGCAACTAAGAGATAGCATAGATAAATGGGACCTCATAAAACTAAAAGCTTCTGTTCATCAAAAGAAATGGTCTCTAAACTGAAGAGAACACCACAGAGTGGGAGAAAATATTTGCCAGCTACACATCAGACAAAGGACTGATAACCAGAATATATAGGGAACTTAAAAAACTAAATTCTCCCAAAACTAATGAACCAATAAAGAAATGGGCAAGTGAACTAAACAGAACTTTCTCAAAAGAAGAAATTCAAATGGCCAAAAAACACATGAAAAATGCTCACCATCTCTAGCAATAAAGGAAATGCAAATTAAACCACACTAAGATTCCACCTCACCCCTGTTAGAATAGCCATCATTAGCAACACCACCAACAGGTGTTGGCGAGGATGCGGGGAAAAAGGAACCCTCTTACACTGTTGGTGGGATGTAAACTAGTACAACCACTCTGGAAAAAAATTTGGAGGCTACTTAAAAAGCTAGACATTGATCTACCATTTGATCCAGCAATACCACTCTTGGGGATATACCCAAAAGACTGTGACACAGGTTACTCCAGAGGCACCTGCACACCCATGTTTATTGGCACTATTCACAATAGCCAAGTTATGGAAACAGCCAAGATGCCCACCACTGATGAATGGATTAAGAAAATGTGGTATCTATACACAATGGAATTTTATGCAGCCATGAAGAAGAACGAAATGTTATCATTCGCTGGTAAATGGATGGAATTGGAGAACATCATTCTGAGTGAGGTTAGCCTGGCCCAAAAGACCAAAAATCTATGTTCTCCCTCATATGTGGACATTAGATCAAGGGCAAACACAACAAGGGATTGGACTTTGAGCACATGATAAAAGCGAGAGCACACAAGGGAGGGTGAGGATAGGTAAGACACCTAAAAAATTAGCTAGCATTTGTTGCCCTTAACGCAGAGAAACTAAAGCAGATACCTTAAAAGCAACTGAGGCCAATAGGAAAGGGGACCAGGAACTAGAGAAAAGGTTGAGATCAAAAAGAATTAACCTAGAAGGTAACACACACGCACAGGAAATCAATGTGAGTCAACTCCCTGTATAGCTATCCTTATCTCAACCAGCAAAAACCCTTGTTCCTTCCTATTATTGCTTATACTTCTCTACAACAAAATTAGAAAATAAGGGCAAAATAGTTTCTGCTGGGTATTGAGGGGTGGGGGGAGAGGGAGGGGGCGGAGTGGGTGGTAAGGGAGGGGGTGGGGGCAGGGGGGAGAAATGACCCAAGCTTGTATGCACATATGAATAATAAAAGAAAAAAAAGAACGAATTAACCGAAAGGTAACAGGACACGCACAGGAAAATTAATGTGGAGTTCAACTCCCTGTTAGCTATCCTTATCTCAACTAGGCAAAAACCTTCTTCCTTCCTTTTATTACTTATACTCTCTCTTCCACAAAATTAGAAATAATGGCAAAATAGTTTCTGCTGGGTATTGGGGGGTGGGGGGAGAAGGAGGAGTGGGGGAACAGGAGGGAGGAAATGAACACCCAGCCTTGTATGCCACATATGAATAATAAAACAATTTTAAAAAATAAATAAATAAAATGAAATAAAGCAGAGCTTATCTTTCTAAAAAAAATAAAAATCTAAATCACTTTTGTAACCTCAACCCATTCCTTTGTACTAAACCAGATGATTTACACTAACCCAGCAATTTTTAACTTTACATATTTTACTTGTGAGAAAGTTTCATTTGATTACAACAAAAAACTCCTGTATAATTTGAGGCATAAACCAATTTATAAGTAATCATTTTAATTTCATTTTCAAGATGAAAGCAAAATACAATAAAAATGTAATCTCTACTATTTTTAAGCCAATTAAATTTTTTCCATGTTTTACTTCTCACTCTGGTAGCTTTCTCTACCTGTAACTTGTGTTAATGTGGTGTTTCCAGTAACACATATACCCAGGTATTAGCTCACAAGAACGCAGCTCTGAATACTGCTCTACAGTAATGTAAAAGTACCTTAATCTTGGATCCTTTAAGAAATCCTAAAGAAAGAACAAGTATTAAAAGCATTTCCAGGAAAGGTGAGGCAATGACCTACCCAACCAACAAGGCTGACACAAGTTCTAAACCCTGCAAAATCAAAAAACCTATTTTGAGATCCACAGATGTCGAAAGCCTTAAAAAAAAACAGACAGGAGACTTAAAAAGGTCTTCATAAAAGCATTTTATCTTCAAGATATTTTTAAGTACTACCGCATCATGAATTGGATGTAAACCCATCGGGTAGCAAGTACACTACAGTATGGTAGAGTCAGAGACGTGTTTTTCCTGCCCTTAAAATTTCTGAAAATACAAAGCTGCGTGAGTGCAGAGCAAATGTCAGTTCAAAACCAGGTAATACAAGAACTGATGAGAACATACGGTAATGCTGTTTGGGACAGAAAACTACAGCTCTTCCCACGGGCGATTATATAAAGCAGTATTTTTTTAAAGCGCTTTCTAAACACAGTAATCAGAACTATCTAGAGCTTCCCGGAGTCCAGTCCCACGCTCAAGGACCAGACGAGAAACTTTATTCACCACTTTAGGTGAGCTGGAAAATCTAAGTTTTCCGAGAAAAACTGTGGGAGAAAACTTGCTTAGCTTCCTGAGTCTGAAATGATCCCACAAGGGCCCCTAACTCCCTGAAGTTCCCTCCAATTAATGACGACGTCTTCACCTCGGGCTTCCCGCGTCCTCTACGCACTTATTTAGCCTACAGGACTGTGGGGACTCTTGATTTTAAAGTAAAAACTCCAGAACCTGAAGATACATCCCAGAAATGGGGAAATTCAAAGTCAAATGCAAACCGCCTACGTCAACCGCCTACGTCAGACCCCCACGCTGCAGCACAGCCAACACTCACCACCGCTCGCCCGGGAAGCCCAGACTCGGGGGTTTTCAAACTCCGAAGGGCGGCAAGCTGGCTCGCTCTCACTGACAAAGCTCTCGCTTTACAGGGACCCAAGACAGCTGGGCGCTACCATTTTGAGAAAGCTGGCCCTTCACCGAAAGCCCCAGAGATAGTTGCCCTGAACAAAGACGGAACTCCAGGAAGCCACTGGTCGGACACCTCCGCACCTGTCACTCTGCAATCCGCATCCAGAAGGACACTAAAAAAACCGACCCGCCGAGCGAGCTCAGTCAAAATAAATTTATCCTTTCAATCGCTCACGGCGTCTCAGGCAACGCCGAGGGCGACCATAGCTGGAGGAGGCGGGGCGTCCAGCGGAGCGCGCTTGGTAACCGGAGCAACGCGGCCTCAGGGCAGGCGCCAAAGACCATTGTCTCCGACACGCCCCCGGGTGGTTCGCGAAGGTGGTTGATGACTGGACTGCTGGTCTTTGGCCCTCAGATTTTAATCCTTAAAGAGCATAGTTTGTGATCAGGGGTGGCCCCAACTCTCCAGTTCCCAGGCCCAGTTCTGAGGTGGCGGTGGCCCCCCGCCTCCAACGTAAGCCCGGGCGCCTCCCCGACGGGTCGCGGGCACCGCCCCCTTAGCTGCCCGTGTCCTGCCTGCCGGCAGCCCTGCCTGCGCCCGCCTCCCCAGCGCCGCGGGACGCCGAGCGCCGTCCGCAGCCCGCGCTGCGCACACCTGGGCCGCATCCCAGCCCATTAGTGCGGCAGAGCCGCTGCGTTTAGTGTAGTGCGTGGGTTTTGCATAGGTTGAAATTAGAGTTGGGTTAAACTTGGGACCTCCGGGAAGAGGACCCATTTGTTTTTGGTTTGGATTTTTTTGTTGTTGTTTTTGTGGGGGTTTTTTTGGTATTTCCCCCCGCCCTTCCAAAATGGCAGCCTCCAGCCGCGCACAAGTGTTAGATCTGTACCGGGCGATGCTGAGAGAGAGCAAGCATTTCAGCGCCTACAATTACAGGTGACCCGGGGACCGGGAAGGCTGGGGACGCTGGTTGCCCGCGAATGTCGCCAGGGGGCGGGGAACCTCGGTCAGGTACTGCGGATGCGCCGCCAAAAAGCGTGTCCTGCCCACAGGTCTGGTCCTCAAAAACCTCGTGGGGATGAACAGAGCATTTGCCCTTCATTATACAAGGGGAGACATTTAAATGCTATGACTTTTCCCCCACGTTGGACACCTTGGTTCCAACTCCAGGAGCACTGAATAGTGTCGCGTGTCCGCGGTACGGAACGATGCACGCGACGATACGAGTGGTAAGGTTCGGACCCGCGTGTTGTCTACGTGAAGCTTCCCGTGAGAACAAGAGGAGTTGAGAGCGCAAGGGGCCAGTCGGTAATCCGCGGCCACAAAGCCCAAAGCCTGCGCTAGCGCTCCTTTTCATTCCCAGGTATCCTCCGTTCTACTCGGGATGGGGGGCAGGGGGTGCGTACCTTAGTGTCGAGAGGAAAGGGTGTCACAGGCTTCCAGGAGCTAAAAGGGTAGTTTTATCCTGACTCAGCAGACCAAGGTCGCACCCACTGGACCTTTACCAGCAGAATGAGCCTGAATTCTTCCTTTCAAAAAATGTTTTTGTTTAATTCGATTGATTTTTGAAGGATACGTAAAAACACAAAGATTATACATACTAATGGAGTACTTGTGATAGTATACTAGTGTGATTCCTTCAAACAATAAACTTACATTTCCAATACGGTCCACACTTTCTATGCCTGCCTAGTTCCCCTGATTGCTTGAGTTCCTTATACTTCCTCTTTGTGTATTTTTTCTCTATGTCAGAGCCCCTCCTTCCACATATTTCTGCTTCCTTGTAACTTCTGAGCCATTGTTTCTGTATGTAGCTTGTTCATTGTCTTTCTGCATTCTACCTGAGTTTGACTTTGAGCCACATTCCCAGAGCAAGAATCTGATAAGACCGGCTCATCATACCTCACTTTAGGCGACTGGCTGGGCTATGGGTTGAATATCTTAGGAACAGAGCCTACCTCTGGAAAGACCTAGTTATAGGTCCCCACTCGCCATCACCCTACCCCACCCTCCAGCTGCTCTATACAACTTCTGTCTCTGACAGTAACACTAAACCTCACAAGCAGTAACTCTATTTTTAGAAACCCTCCTAAAAAATATACTCATCGTATAAATTTGAGAACAGCATCTAGGTCATACTAGTGAGAGCATATCCACCTGGCCACATGGCTAGAAGAAACATTAATGGGAGAGCATGGTTTAATTTAATGACTGGCTTTGAAGGATATATAGGTATAAACAGCATAATGAAGGAATTCACAGACATTTCGTACTAAGTACGTATTATTAAGGGAATATACAAAATATGCATGCAAATAAGTGGAAACTAATCATTTTCATCACAGTCTAGAAGATATGTTGTTATTTTAAGTTTACCCAGAATAAAAGAACTGGGAGTCAGCGGGAAGTTCACACTGAAAAAGGAAGGGTACATCTGAAAGCACATTGTGGGAAAGACAAGTAACAGCCCTCACAGAATCCCTAAGCTTGGCTAAATCACTCAACTTCTTGTGTTTCTGTTTCCTTGTTTGTAAAACTAGACAATCTCTAAGGACCCTTCCATTTTGAAAACTCCATCTAGAAGTGACAGAGAAGCCAAAAAGGCAAAATTTTTTCAAGTGACTAAATTCTGAGTCAGCAGGAGTAAAAGCCAGAAGATGAAGCCATGCCTAGTAGGCAGAAAAGTTTCAGCATAAGCAACAATAAGATAGTAACACTAGAAAGTAATTGCTAATATTACACTTTGAGTATACGCTTTCAGACTAAATTTATTGTCTACTATAAATATATCCGCAGTAATCTGGTAGTCATTTTTCACTGTTGTCTGAAACCATGTACCTAAAACTTGAGGTTTACTGTCTTCCATGATAATAAACTTTCTTGTTAGAAAGTATGTGTTTAATAGTAAGACTGTATCCTATAGCTTTCAAGGGTAACCCATTCTCTCTTCTCATCTCAGCCAGTATTTGTCACTGGTAGTAAATCAGTAACTGCAATATCCATTGATCACGTCTATACACCACCATTATTTTATGCTCTATACATTTATTAATACATTTTTTACAACAACCTTATGAAAGTCTTATTTTTATGACCCAGTAAGGAAAATGAGACTCAGAGAGATTAAGTAAACTATTAAAAAAGTCAACAGCTACTGCTGAATAAGTAATCAAAAGTAGACTACACATTTTGAAACAACCTGAAAATGTTGATGCCTAAAGTAATTGCAATAATGAAATAAGTATTTTGGAATTCTCTTGCAAGACTACAATTTAGTAGCATGGGCCTCGTGTGCTTCGCCACTCTGCAGCCAGACAAGCCTCAAACATGCAGCCATCTGGCATCGTCATTGACAATTTCTTAAATGTGCAGTGTCCTCTTGGTCCTCAGACCTTTGTAAGTACTTCTCTACCTGGTATGTCCTTGCTCTCCCTCGTCCAGACTGCCTCCCCTTCCTTCAAGATTCGGTTCAATCCTGACCTCCTTTGGATAATTTTTTTCCATTTTTCCCATCCCACAATCCCCACCTCTGCTTTTCCCTCACCTAGATAGGCCCCATTCTTAGATGTCCTTCTAAATAAGAACTTCAAAAAAACTTCTAAAGCCTACTTTGCCGGGTGTTTTACCAAGCCCTGGAGCTAGAAGGGTGAGAGCTTTGAGCTCAGCAAGGTGCCACCATGAGTCACTTCATAAGCATGTGTAGGATAGTTTTTGCAGTCTGTGTTAAGTGCTGTGATAGAAATAAACACCAGTTGTAGAATGAAGATCTCCCAAAAGCTGACATTGGATCAAAGACATGAAGTAGCATGAGACTCAATAACAGGCAAAAGTTGAATGTTGCTGGAGAGCTGAATGACACAGAGCTGTACGGAAAGGGGCTATGCTGGGGAACCTCGACTTTATTCTTAGCTGACAAGCAGCCACCAAGAACCTATGGAATGGACAGTGACATGGCCAGATTTGCATTTTAGGTAAGATCAGTCTCCAGCTGCAGAGAAGATGATTTTAAGGGGCTAGAAATAAGGACTCCAAATGGGAGTTGATAGGACAATGCAGAGGAGAAATTAGACCCCTAATCAAGACAGGAGTCAGGAAGGTAGAGGGAAACACATATCTGATAGATAACATCTGACAAATAATGGCCATTGTTAGAATGCTAATACTTGGGTGCCAGACTACAGACACAAAACCACCCAGGCTAAGCCAAGGCACAGAAAGGGTAAATGAATACTGGAGCTGTGCCATTAAGTGATTTAGAGATACAGAAGTAGCTGGTCCTAAAAAGAAAAGATTTTGAGCTTTTTTCGGGGGATGTCGTAAGTGTAACTATTCACCCTGCAGATACAGTAAGTCCCAAGTCTGAAACTCACAAGCTGTGGAGCTGGCTGCTCAGCACCTGTGGTTTCTTACTCTGCAAAACGGAAAGCATAATTTGCTGCCTCTTCTGCCCCATGTGCCACTGCTCCCAATGTGAATAGTAATTAACACCAAGCAGCTTTCACTTTCTAAGCAGGACAGCTGCATGGAAAACCTTAATCCCAAGTGTTCTTCCTCTTTGGGACAAATGGACAGATCAGTTTGGTCCTAATATTTCTTGGAAGCCCACAATGTATGTCTGTGTATGTAACTTACGGGGAAACATGCAAATTGAAATAGTACCCAAATCAAGGAGATTTGCATAATGTACTGGGTTGCAGGAGATGTTTCCTAGTTTAGCTGTTACATATTACAATACTATAAAAATATTTTCAATAACATCATAATGATTATTTCAACCCTGTAGTCCTACCTTCCATATCACTTGTAATTCTTTATATCTCTTCTCATTTAGAAATTTAAAATTCTTCAACTTATCCTTCATTTCAAAAAATGTAACTTCAACCTCCCCTCCAGATAATCTTTGATCTGGTCTCAAACTAGAAGCTCATACTAACCAGAAATTGCTGCTATGTGGGGAATTCCTTCCTCCCATTCTTTTTCACCTTTTATCCCCTGATTGAATTTAGAGCTACCCAGACACATCACCTGGGACAGCTGTCATGTCACTTGAGACACTTTGCTTGCTGGTGTATTTTTCTTTCCCCGCCCCCTTCTGTGGTGTTAGGGATATCAAACTGTCTACACACATGATAAGCACACTCTAGCACTGAACTACACCCTCAGTCCACTGGTATGTTCTTAACAAGATTATTAGGTATTTTTCCTCAGTTTAAAGAAAAACCAGTTTTCCCTCTTTTGAACTTTCGAGTAATACTTTTTGATGTATATGTATATTATAAGATACTGACAAACCCATAGAATTTTGTTTTAAATGGCCAAACAAATTTTCCTCACTATGAAATGTGAGAATCGATTTAACTTTTTATTGCATGATAGTTAAGGACACATTACAGGAAGGGAAAAACAAAAGAGAAGAAGACTACTTTGCTAAATCTTCCTAGTTCTTCACAAATTAAGTCTTAACATTTGATCTGAATTTATGCCAGTGGGCGCATATGCAGCCTGGAGCACTGTGTTAGAAAGAACCTCTGTTCCTGAGCCCTTCCATAGTGCCCCACAGGCAGCTAGAAGGATTTCTGTAGGCCTGAACATAGTTACTCAGAGTTTTGAGTGACTGTATGTTATCACTAATTAGGCTTAGAATTTCAAAAACAAGCTTTTAAATGTATGGTAACTAATGTCTGCCATGTCTGGATGATAATGATGTTGAAAAATAAGTAAAAATTGTATAGTTAACCTAGAGAAGAAAACATTTAAGACATTCAAGTTGAGAAAATTGTATTTTTGATGTGAAAAGTAGTAGTTTTTTTTTTTTTACTGTAGATTATAGTGGGAAGAATTATGCTATTGGATCTGCATGTCATTGCTGACTTTTTTTTAGTTTACAAGAGTTTCCAAATTGTAGTTATTCTATCTATACTTCCTTGGCCTCTAAA